TGGCACGCTGCCAGCCACCAGGGCCCCACCTCCGAATCGGGAGGTCCAGCGGACAGCCCGCAGTCGGCAGATCAGCCGGGCCTGGGTTGACTTCCAGCGTACCCGCTGTGTGACCCTGGTGAAGTTACTTGGCCTTTCTGAGCCCATTTTCTCCCGTATGAAATGGAGAAAAGTTTCGGGATCGCTAAGTAAGAGAACATCTAGAAAGCGCTTGGACAGAGGAGGAGGAGCTCGGAAAATGGTTGTTAAGAGTTGCCTAACCTGAAAGCATCGGCCATTCATCTTTTGGGGAATCCGTAGGGTCCCTCGGGAGCCTGAGAAAGCCTGGACTTTCTCCCCAGAAAACCGTAGATCTGCACATACGGCACGATTTCTAGGGCTCCAAGCTGTGGGACTGGTGTCCTTGGAGGGAGACCAAGCATCCATCACCGGTGTTATCAGCCTGGCACAGGCTCCCTTCTCGAGCCTGGGGCCCCGGGCTCGACAGGCACGCGGCAAAGCCCCGCTGTGCACCTCGGGGGCCTCCCTGAGCCCCGGGCTGGCTCCAAAGGAAAAACACAGCCTGCGGACCCTGGAGTGATAACTCGGGCTGCAGCCGGGCTTTGCAGACAGCTCTGGCAGTCTCCCCACCTGCCGGCCCCACGCGGGCCCCACTCTCCTTCCCAGGCAGCCTCCGGGCTGCCGAAGCGGCGCTGTGGGCAGCTGAAAAATCGGGGCCCGGAGCCAGAGCAGATGATGTCAGGGGTCTCCTTTGAAATCCTCGCGTGGAGTGATTCCGCGCGGTGCCAAACCCCAGCCTCCTGCTGACCTCACGGTTTCACGCAGGGACTGACCCAGAACGCACAAACTCATTCCTGACCTTCTCTCCGGCGGCCCCATCTTATTAACACACACACGGCCCCACAGCCCTGCCTTCTGGAGCCTCCCGAAAACTCCTCGGGGGCCAAAAAGAACCCATCACCATTTCTTTTTCCAGGTATCTCTCCCCACGAGTGGCCTCTCTTCACCCCTCCTTGTCTCCCCCCACCCCTCAAAATTACACGCAAGCCACGGGTTGGGTTCTTTCTGCACAAGCCTGAGAATCTGAGGTTAAATAAATAAATATAAATAAATCAGCAGACCTTTTACTCCGGGTCCCCTTTCCAGTCACGTCTGTCCCCTCGGCTCTAAGTACTTTACGAGGAAGCGCGGTGTCGGGGTGAACACGATTGCCTCGGCTTGGGGAAAATTTACTGTTGAGCGTAAAACTCTAACCAGATGAAAGCGGACCTTCCAGCTCCTCGCGAGGCGGGCGGCTTCTCTGGCCCTAAACAACCACAGCCGGGTCTCCGGAAAGCAGGGTTTCTCCGGATCCAGCACATCCAGCTTGATTCTGGGGGCTGTTGCAGAAGAAGCAGTGTCAGTAACTGTTTTCAGAGGCGTCGCTCTGCCTGGCAACGTCCGGTCTCAGTGGCGTAGGGCCAAATCATCATCACGGAGGGACGAGGAGACCAGGCTCCCCCCACCCCCGGGAACCTCCCATCCCCGGTAGCACCTCCCCAGGCTTTGTGGTGCTCATTTGACTTCAAAGAGTCAAAATGCTAAAAACAAAACAAACAAACAAACAAACAAAAATGCAGGACGTTACAGCACTGTTTTCTAGGGTGAGGTATTTACCAGAAGCTCTTTAATTCATAATTTGTACCTTGAACATGTGGCAAAAACCTAGCATATCAACCCACACCCATGGTATCTAAGAGCAAGGGTTGCTCCTGTATTTGTTAGGAATTGCTTTAGGCTGCAAGTAACCAAGGATGGAAATGACCACCACGTAACATAAATTTATTTCTGTCCCATGTAAACAAAACCCAAGCAGTCGTCCCCGGGCTCCAAAGTGCCATCAGCCATGCTGACTCTTCTCTTTCTGTTCCGCCATCCTCTGCGTAGGGTTTCCGTTCTCAAGGTCGCCTCAAGGTCCAAGGTGACTGCAGGAGCTCCAGCCATCACAGCTGTATTCCAGGCAGGAAACTAGGGAAAGGGCTGCCGGTCTGCTCTGTCCTTCCCCCAAAACCTTGTCGCCTTACATTTTCTTGATTACCCTAGCTGCAAGGGAAGCTGGGGAATATGGTCTTTGAGCTGCATGTAGTTTCCCAGAATAAAAACAGGATTCTGTTAGTAAGGGAGGGAATGCGGGTCCTGGTTTGTCAAGCGGCGGTTGCTCCCAGTTCCCATGAACACACAGAGCTGGGAGGGAACCCCAGCCTGCCACCTGCCGAATACTCAGCACGGAGCCGGGCCGGACGAGGCCTGGCTTGGCCACACCCTGTCGGGTCCATACTGGGAAAGTCTGCGTCCAGGGGGTCAGGGAGAAGAGTGGTTCTAGAACCCACGGGGCCTTTGCTCTCTGTCGCGGAGGGAGGCACGAGCCTCCGGCAGACGCGCACGCGCGCACACACCCCAGCGCCTGGGCAGCGGAAACAAACCCAACAGAGATACTTACTCCACGCGCCCAACCGCAGGGCGACTTGGGGCTGCGCGTATGGACGCCACGTGCAGAGGATCGGAGAGCCGAGTGAGGGGCCCTGGCCTCAGGGCTGGGGTCTGGGGGGGCAGGGTGACCTTCCAGGGAGGGCCCTTCCTAGAGTGACTCTACAACTTCTCACCCAAATCGGGACGTGTCTTCGTCAAAGGGGTTATTAGTAACCACGCCCGAGGCCCAGGCCCAAATCAGGTCTGTCCCGGGGGCGCCGCGGACGATGGTGGCCCCCCCCCCCAAGCTCTTCCGGAAGTGGTCTGCGCGCTCAGCAAGGGCTCCGCCCCTCTGCAAATTACTACGTACTAACAGCTCTCGGAAAGGTGGAGGACGAGGAAACGGTGACGTTTTAATGCGAGAAAAGAGAAAAGTCGCCGCGCGGAGGGCTTCCCCTTCCGCCGCGGCCATCCTGCCCGGGAACGTGTACGTGCTGTGTCCCGAAGGCCGGCGGGCGCGCCCCCACGCTCAGGGTCGCCGCCCCGCGGCTGGCACACCTGTTCGTGCGTTACATTCATCGGCTGTTCGGCTCCCGAGGGGCCTCCGGCCTGGCGTCGCGACGACGCGTGCGGCCGGGGCGGCCCGTTCCCAGCTGACC